ACAAAGTACATCTACTCCTTTCAAATACTCAGCCTGTACATGTACTCCATAGTGTATGCGCCTCCTAGATGTACAGTACTGTAACAACAGGGTGAAATACAAGGGTCGGTCAAAGAGTTGTAAGACAGATGTTACATTGTCTCTCAGCTTGGACAGGTTTTGTGATTTTGTTTTTGTTTGAGTTTGAGAACTCAATAATCTACAAATAATCAGTGTTTTTAATCTGGTTTTTAATTCGATTTTTAGTCCGTTTTATTTTCCCTTTTCCCATAATAGAAAGAACATTTGAGAGGACGTCAGTGTCAGTCCTCAGATGAAGCAGGTTCTTCATGTTCCCTGTCACCGTAAATCATTCAAACGTAAAAAAATGAACAGAATTTTCACTAAATTGTCAACTATAACATCTGTAAAATAAAACAAAATCTTTAGGATAAAAACTGCAGGGATTTAAACTGTGGCTCAAACTTTAGAGTAAAAAATGAACAAAGAAAAACCTTTTGATGTAAAAGGGTTTGATGATTTTAACTTTTGTTTAAAAAATAAAACCAAAAACTTGTGAAAATTCTAAATTTTAATCTTTAATTTGAGTCAAAGTAGTTTCGCAAAGGACGGGGCGTGAGCTAAAAGTAGTCCATGGGATCATTTCTCCTGGTCTTAGTTTGAGCGAATTTTTAAATTTGTTAACGCTAACAGAAAAAAAAAACTTGTTTTGTTTTTTACTTGCTGAACTGAAACACATAGTTACTGTCTAAAAATATTTTTTTAAATATAAAAAGTAAATTAATGTGTTTTGGTTAGAACTTTAACACAGAGAAATTATATTTAGCACTTTGTCTTACCCTGTAACAAGATTTGATTTTAAGTATCTGTAAGTTTTTTAGTTTAGCTCGTAGTCGAAATGTATTTAGTTATTAATTTTTAATACTAAATAAACTGTCGGTGTTCACCATCGGCTGTGTCTGAACCACAGTTCTCAGCGATTTTAAAAAACCTTGTTGGAGAGTTTTGTTTCTCTTCCTCCTGTTGCTTTAAACCCTTTCAACTCTTTTATATTTTACGTTTTAAGTCATAGAATATGAAGTCGTTTGGTGTCAAATCAAATAGAGAAAAGTCACTCATTTGAGTCAAATGACTTTAAAAAAAATCCCAAACTGACACCTGCAGCAGGAAGGATGGAAGACATAACTAGGAGCGGACGTCTCAGTTTCGTCTAGTGTCCTTACCTCTACCACTGTGGCTGCTGGACATGTCCCTGAATTTTTGGTTCCTGCTCCACCAGCTGAACGTCAACACTGTCTCCGCCACCCTGTCCCACTTATGATCTGACTTCTCTCTCTGCTTTGTTTGGCATGAGTGTGATCCTGAAGGAGGAGGAATAAAAAAAAAGTTTGTTTTTTTTCCTCCCTTGTAGCTCTTTATGTCTGAAGAAAGTTTGGTTTTTTTCCCTCCCTTGTAGCTCTTTATGTCTGAAGAAAAACATTGAATCCTGAGTATTTCTGATTGGTCGTCTGGTGAATGATCCTGTTAGATATCATTTCCATTCATTAGCTGCTGTAATTAGGATTAATTGGTTTCATCAATCACTGTAATAATTATAGCCGTTAGCAAAATTGAAGCTTTAGGCGGGAATGGACGAGGTTTTGTTGGATTTTTTGGAAGAGTTTTGAATCAGGTTTGTCAGGTGGAGATTATTGATAATCAGGTTTGGTTGAAAGGTCACGAAGCTGCTGTAAAAAAAAAAAAAGAAAAAGAAAAAATAGAGGATTTGAATCTAAGTTCCAAATCACTGTAACCCTTAACTAAGAGAACTGAAGTCTGGTGCTAATGTGGCGGCGGCTGCTGCTGCTGCTGCTGCTGCTGCTGCTGCTGCGTTTGTCTTTCTGCGTTTGCATGTGTGTGTTCTCGGAGTCATCGAAAGACAATTCTGATGACATAATAGGAGCAGACACACACACACACACACACTGGACATGGTTAATGTGTGGAACAGCTGCAGGCCTGACTGTAGAAGTGCTGTCGTTTGTCAGGTGTCGTCTCTGCTGCTGCTGCTGCTGCTGCGTTTGCTGCTTTAAGATTGAACCAAATCATTAGCACAGTGTCACACACTGTTAGCTGCAACACACAGACTCACTCTGCTCCTCAGCCACACTGGGATGAAGTGGTGTGTATGTGTGTGTGTGTGTGTGTGTGTGTGTGACAGCAGGTGTAATTAGGAGAAAAGGAAACATACGTTTAGGAAGAAAGTGATTAAATGAAACCATTAGTGTAAAAACTGACTTTTTCATAAATGTTTTTATGGACTAATATTTTGAACCTTAATTTGACCTTATTATAATTTCTTTTCTTTTTCATATTGTTAAAGTAAAACAGACCCGGAGTTAATGTGATACGAAACAGAAAAGTTTAAATCAGTGTAAATGACAGGATTTAAAAAATAAAATAAATAAAAATAAACTTTAGTTTCATTCTGTTACACTTCTTCAAAATGATTATATACATAAACACAAACTAAAGTGGGTTTTAGTTTATTTAGTTTACATTATTTCACCTGTTAGTGTCTTATATTTAACTTTTCTTATTTAATTTAATTTATGTTTTTGTCTGTCTTTGACATAAAAAACAAAACATATTTACATATAAACATTTATTTTTGAAATGTAACAAAATTAAGAAGAAACTTGATTAGTCTTTTTTAAAATAACATATTGTGAGAGAATTAACTGCTGCCATCCCTGATATATTCTTTTAAATGTTTGATTTCAAAGCTGCATGGATTGTTTTTTTAATAATAATAATAATAATTCAAAGTTAATTTATAAACAAACCAAGTGAATGGAATAAAAACTGAATGTACTTTTCTGTCACCATTATTTTTAATTTGTTTATATGTTTGTTTTACAGTGGTTCGTGTTTCAGTTCGAAACATTTAATTTAATTCCTGCTTCGTGTCGTGCTTCGAGATTAATTTATTTTAACTGTAGACGAAGAGAAATATGTTTTTAAGTAAAATAGAAAAATATACCTGTTCATATGATTTTTATTCCTACTTAAAAAAATGATGTACTGGTATTCACTAGTGTATAGTAGTACTACTAGGACTATTCATTAGTATTTTTAGTATTTAGTATTTTCTTAGATATGAAATTATTTTAAAAAAATAGAAATAATAGCATTAATTATAATAAACAACCAACTAATAAATAAAAAGGATAATGACAGATTTGTTAAATAACCCACTCTGACGTGTGATTTATTGATTTATCCAAACGTTGATAAAATTGATTATCGCTTAAGGTTCGCGCACCGACAGTTGTATCGTGGACTGTTTTTAATGCCTGTCGATAAAAACAGACTTATTTTATCTGTGGGTTGAAGTAAGACGTAAAGATCCGAGCTCTGACGAAACATCGTTTCGTCAAATAAAAGTTCTAACAAAGAAAAAGGTGACGTTAAATCGATTAAATCGTTTTAACTTCCACACCGGAGTCGTGTTGATGTTCTGTCTTAGACAAACAGCTTTATTTACTCAGATAATGAATTCATTTTTACTACAGATCTATTTTGTCATTTTTTTTATTCCATTTAAAGCTGCGGTCTGATCGACCAGCAGCGGGTTTTTCTGTTTCATTTCTGCCTCTAACTCTAACCCAACACATCAGGTGATTCCCAGAAAAAAAGAAAAAAAAACCCAAAACCTCAAATGTTCATTTAAAATCAAGTTTTTTTTTTTTAAAAAAAAAACCTCATCAATTTTGTAGAATATCCATTTTCTAAACTCCACGCTTGGCTGCATGTGCGCCACCTTCTGACTTCGAGATTATATATATTTATATATAAAAAACACAACGATACATTTGAAATAAATCTATATTGTTTTCGTTTCTACGATTAAAATCGTCTGTTTTTAGCTCGTCTCCTCCACATGTGTGAGCCTTAAATATCAACTCGTGCCAAACTGCCTCCACCTCCACCGTCACCTCCACAGAGAAGCTCTTACCTTCCAGGATGGAGCCGAAAACAAAAGTCTGGTCCAGCAGATGCGCCGATATTTCTGCCGATCTTCTGAGCCGATATCTTCTGCTAGTATCCAAACGGTCAGACTGTAGGTCAGAGGCTCTCGGTCGGTTTTTTTTTTTTTTTTCCCTGACACTTTCCAGCGTCCTGGCTTGTGCTGTTGTGGCGTGCGCAGCACAAACTCAGCCGGGTTTTATCCGAGCGCGGTTGCGCAGAGAACGGAGGCCTTCAGCCATTGGAGGAGGACTGATGGAGGGGGGAGGGGGGGGTGTAGAGAAGAGGTGGGGTTCGGTGGGAGGGGGAGAGAGGAGGACTGAGGCTGATCGTGGACGCCACTGATCCACTGTACAGAAACACTTGTCATGGAAACGTTTATCTCCAGCTGCAGTCACGCTGCGATTACACGGTGTACCGGTATGTGGCACCGACTCCAACGGTTTTCACAGTACGTTTAGTGCCAACAGGACGATTTTAGAAGAAAGCAGAGAAATCGATGCGTCGGTTTTTTTTTTCAGACATTCGCATCTGAACAGAAAGTTAAATTAAATATTAAAAAAATAGAAAAACAAAGTTTACTTCCAAACTTTTCTAAGTTTTTCTTCCCCATAATTAACAACACACTCAAACTTTTTCTACATTTAATAACTTTTTTCTTTATATGTATATTTTTTCAAAATACACGTGAAGCTACTTCATAAATACATAAATACCCATAAATAACAGTTTTTATGCCGATTTTACCACATGAATATTTTCGTTTTTATTGAGATATATCTTAATGACTCTACACTTTATCCCCCGACAAAAGTGTTTAAGATGTATTTCAAAAGAAATTAAATGAAATATTACGACAAAACATATATTTAAGTTTAAAAAAAGTCATCAAATAAATCTTCTTTATTGTTAAATACCTAGAACCTTTTTTTGGTTTTAAAAAAATACACGAGATGCAGAACTCTTAAAGTAAATCCTGTGTTTTTGGAAACATGTGAAACATATATAGAAATACAGTGTTGTAAATATATGATGTAAACTGTAAAACTAACTCATATCAGAGCCAATAAATCCGTGATTTATTTCAGTTTGGTTGTTTATTCCTCTGTCCTCCAGCTCAGATCAACTGTGTTTTTCTTGCTCTTCACAGACTTTTTTTTTTTTTTTGTCACCAGATTCTCTCTGCTCGGTTGGACGTCACCACTGGACGCTGTCAGTGTTACTGTCTCAGTTGCGGTGGTTGGTGAAAGCGTCAGTTCTGCGTCTGTTTCTGACTTGTTCCGTCTGCGCCGCCCCGCATGCGCCGGCTGTCTCTGCGGGACACCGGGATCCCCGTGAGTTAAAACGCTGTTAAATGTTGTTCACACAGACCTGCAAAAACAAACACACGACACCTCTGATGACGGCCATGACACCTCGGCCTCTGTCGCACAGACAAACGTTTGGTTTCTCCTCTGAGAAGGAGAAAGAATTAGTTCAACATGACAATGATAATGATGAAAATGTTAAAGTTTTTTTTTTTTTTTTACCAGAACCAGAGTCCTGTAGGTGAGAAGTTTAATCATTGAAGTCTCTTCTTCCTTTGACTTTGAAACATCAGTGCCACGGCAGAACAATGGCGCGAGTGTTGGGGAAATAAATAACAGCGTCAGGAGACTAAAGGGAATCATGACATCAGATGGAAACTGTGTGTAAAGAGAGCGGAGAAAAAGAGCCAGGTGCCCGCAGGTGAAGGAGAAGAAGAAGAAGAAGGAGAAGAAGAGAGGGCGAGGGAGAGGTGACCCAGAGTTTAACAAGGGATTAGAACCCGCAGATTGACATCTTTCACCATGATGCTGTCTATGGAAACGGGGCCTAATTATAAGGGTCCACGCACCGAGGGGCAGAACAGAATCGGACACACGCCCTAATCCGGGCCCGTGAACAGGAATAATGAAGCGGGAAATATATATATATATATATAAACATATATATTTATATATTAAATATTAGCGAGCCGCGATTGAGAAACTTTTGGGCTTTAGTAAATATAAAAGTATATATGTCACATATATGTGAATATATGTGACATATATATGTTAAATATATATATATATACATTTATATATGGTCTGCACCTTATTTTAAACCCTAAGCTTTCGTTTGTTTTCTATATTTAAAAATATATGTGCGTGCATATATGTGCATATATACATATAGTTTTAATTTATATTTATATATTTTAGCCGCAATAAAGAGGAACACATCAAATCATGCCGTCATTTCTTTTGACGCTCAAAGACAAACTTTAAAAAAACTTGCGTACTGTATATATTTTTACTTCAAGATACTTCTGTCCTCTGTCTGACAGCAGGTCTTTACTGCTGAGAGATAGTTTTTTTTTTTACTCCAGAGCTGCTGACAACACGCAACTGAGGGAAACAGAGCTTGGAAAGTAATTAATAATATGTGAACAGTACGTCAGGAAAAAAAATAAAGTATATATTACGCACTGGTAAATATCGGATCAAGTACAGGTACAATATACTGTAGTGAACTGTGTTGTTAAAACTGACTAAATACTAACTAACTCTTCTGTTAGTATTTCGGGAAAAATACTTTCTGTGAAAGAAAGGACAGCGATTTAACAATTAAATTAAACCTCACGTGACCTGGAAAGGTCACATGATTTCGTGTAGTCAATTTGTTCATTCATGTTTCAGTCTACTGTCCCAGTTACGGTAATGAAATCCCACTACAGCAGCCGAACATCAGGGTCAGTCAAACATGTTCTGTACTTAATGGTTATGGCCGCAGCCACGGGTGAATAAATACTAATCATAATCTGATTTTTTTTTCATCATTCCGTTAAATATAACTCTGTTAAAGTCGAAATTGTAAGGAAAAAAGATTCAATGAAAAGATGATGCAAATAAAAAATTCATTTTTCCTTTTCTAAACATTAGATATTATAATGCTTTAAAAACACATTAAAATTAATATTTTTTTCCAGTTCCCAAATGTTTGCCTCATGGGTAACTCTGATGCTTTCACCCCTGCCTGTAGATGGCAGTAATGCACCCAATGTTTGTTTGCATGTTATGAAGAAGATGCACAGGATTCACAAGTTTGACAGTGATGGAAGCTGAGACCACGTTAACGCCTGAAGAGGTGCAAAGTTTTTTTTTTCTTTTTAAATTTTCCAGCTTTGATACAAATTGTTGAATTATAACGATATCACATTAATATAAAACATGTTACTGTCGGCATGGACACAGAGCTAGCGTTAGCTACAACAGAAATGTAGCTAGCTACCATAATAGACTAGATGATGTTGTAAAATATTCAACAGAATAGTTATACTGTGAGTTTACACCACGTGGTTAATGTAGTACAAAGATGAAAATGCACAGAAAAATATAAATAACAAATGTAATTATTTTTTGCTAACTTTGTGTTTTTTTCCCATTGATTCAGTCGTTGACCAGAAATAATTTGAACTCAATTGAAAAACTATTTTGCAGTTGTGTTTGTGGAAATTAATGTTTAGGAACTTTAGTATCTCAACCCGCCCCCTAGTGGTCGTGAACCCCCTTGTTGAAGAACGCGGATCAGATATGTATCTTTTTTTTTTAAAACGTCGTGTTGACACAAAAAGTGGCGACATGTGACACGTCATGGACTCGTTGCGCACCAAAAAAAAAAAAAAAAAAGAAAAAAACCCACCCGTGTTTGTGTCTGTTTTCTGTTCCGGGTGTGTCTTGTTGACAGATTTTTTTTCTCCTCCAGGAAAAAAGAGCAGCATCATAACCTGCGGCGACAGGTGGCAACAGGAGATGAGGCTAAAAGGTCAGAGCAGACACTTCCGACTGCAGCGATAAGAGGAACAAGACAAGCAAAAAAAAAAAAAAGTTTCTGAGACAAACCAGCGCCACCTTACGACACAAAACACCACAGCTAAACCGTGGAGAACACCGTAAGTATCTGCGGGTAAGTCGATGACACAAAAAATTAAAATAATGTAAAAAAAAAAAAGGCGCGTCATCACGTCAAGGCACACAGATATTTGCCGGTGTGCGCGCTCCCGCTCTGAAACGCACCACTTGCCAGCGCTCGGCTGCGCGCACCCGCGACAAGATGAATGTTTCCGGGAGGAGAAGCAGCCACTTAATGACAACTTCTATAAATCTCAGCACGTCTCTTTGTGGTCAGCCAGTCGAGATGAGGCAGATAATTAGGTCATAATAGCTGCAGACGCACAACAGTATTGATGATCACATTACAGCACAGCACCTCAGAAATGTTGACTTTTATTTTTATTTTATTTTTTTTACTCATAAACTCCGGACAGGATCCATTGAAGTGTGGTGTAGGTGCAAAGTGGCCTGAAAAGTGGGACACATATGTGGGCTGTTCTCCATGTTCCATGTTGAGATCCTCATTGTTTGGTTTTGGTATTTAGGGACAGTGGTTCTCAAATGGGTGTACGTGAAAAAAAACAGTACAGGGCAATGTATCTCCAAAAAGAAAAGTAAGACATGTTATCATTTAAAAGGATGTCAAATATAAAATGCAAGAGGTTATCATCTAAATACATATTTACTTTTTAAAACAGAGCAAACAAAAAAAATTATAATTTTTTAAGGAACTCATTTACAGTCCTTAGACGTTAGGTTTTATTTTCCGTAAAAACATTTTATTTTTAATTTGTCTCTGTCGTACATTCACCAAGATATAATTGTTTATTTAATTAATTTATATATTTTGTGTTAATTCATCTTTTGTGGAGTTTTTCTATAAAATTAAAGCATTTCTGTTAATTATCTATGCAATTATTTCTGTATAAATTCATTCAGTCTGAAAACATTATTATCACAAAATGTAAACTTTGAGTAGATTCATTTATACTGTACATTTACTCATTTTTATTTTTAACATATATATTTACAACGATACGTAAATATTAAAATGTTTTAAGAATTTAATAAACATGTCTACGTTTAACAAATCTGGTCAGCGATGATATTTGGAGACCGAAAAAAAAAGATTTCCTGTCACCAATTCTGGTCCCCGCCCCAGTGTTTAGGAAGTGTATGGCAGGTTGTGCTACAGACTGCTGTTAAAACTGATAGGCTGTTGTCAACATGTTGCCATATGGGAGGCAGATCCCGACCACGTC